CTTTAATTTAAGATATATATAAAAGTGTCAGACCTTCCGGAACATTTTCAAAATTTAAGTTAAAAAAATTAATTTTTTGTGAAAAAGTTGTCATTTTAAATCCCCCCTTGTGGGCAGGTTAAGGGTTCAATTTATGAAAAAAATATACCAAATGAAAGGTAATGATATTATGCATCTATATAAAAAAGATTTATATTGATATGTTCATTTTTGAAAAAGTTATGGTACTTTAAAGTAAAAAAAATTGAAAAAATTTCGAAAATTACCGATTTTTAAATTTGTAATTTTTTTGGAGGTTTCCCCCTTTTACGGGGAACGAGGGAAATTTTTTCAATTTTTAAGGGTAATGTCTTCGACTAGATACGATTTGTGATCTTTTGACGTATTCGCATCGAAGCTAAAAAAATTTGGGACTTTATTTTGTCTTCACGGTGAAAATGGCTACTAAATGCTATTATTGTGTGAAAATTCTCTATTTTATTTTTTTCATTTTTAACTTTATAATGCTAAAACTTATTGAAAAGTGTATGGATCAACACAATTTTTTTATGAAAAATAATATTTTTTTATAATCCCTTTTTCATTTGACATACTTTATCTTAATCAGGATATAAATAAGAAAATATCAGATCATGTAGCTTTTGGAATAATACACCAATTTTTTAAAACTAAACACTGTCTAAAGATTTGCATCGAAGAGTTTTTTATGATAATGATTTTAATCACTGTCAGATATCATTATACTTGATCCAACTATGCCACGTCACCACTGTGCCGCGACCCCCCTGTGCTGGGTTTTTTNTTGATCCAACTATGCCACGTCACCACTGTGCTGCGACCCCCCTGTGCTGTGTTTTTTATAGTTTATATTATATTTTTATGAAAAACGTTTGGGGATATCATAACCTCACTCCCTCTACGAAATCGCCCCTGTTTATGCACAGCACATTTTACCTGCACGCTGTCTATCTGTAGTATTGATATACTGCAGGATCATAAAGTAAAGAAAAACAAGCCTAATGTTACGAAAAATGGGATTCCTTTTCCTTAATTTATGTATGTATATATATGTATATATGATGACTAATTTATTAGTGTAAAATAAATAATATAATATACAATTACAATTTACATAATGCATTCTTACTTAATTTATTGAAAGTTTTTAATTTTATCAATAATAATATCATTTTCAACATTTTCGTTAAAATCTTACCATATTCTGTAAATATAGAGTGCTCAGTAAGTAAGGAAACAGGTTTCTATTCTTATTATTTGTAACAATTGATCTGTTTCCTTACTTATTGAACACGTATATCGTTTGCGACTATTCATTGCACAACTAGATATTTAATGACTACCGGAATGTATCAATTTTAACTATAGCAATCTAAAAAAAAATTGCTTGACGGTTACAAATTATTCTTTTGTACAAGAGTATCGTTCTTTGTAAACAATTAAACATTATCGCATACATTTTAGTAAAAACGACAGATCATTTGGGATCAGTAAGTAAGTATTTTTATTGTTTTCATCGTTTATAACCATTGAGTAAAAGAAAAGGTTATTTTTAATTTTAAGGAACAACTTGAAGTACTTATTGAGTTATAAGCAATCTAATACATTAAGAAGGTATAGCGCATTTTCTCAACCTTAAGTTTGTAATTGGGTCATCAATATTTTTGCAAGAAAAAGACTAAAAAATTGCTATTTGAAATTTCAAAAAATTTTCATTGAACTTTTTTATAATTTCAAATAAATAAAAAAAAGGACGGCTGAAAAGACAAGACGTCCATCACGGACTTTCAAAAATCCCAAAAAGTTTCAGAAAATCATAATACATATAATTTGATTTGGTGAGATTATATTATATCCCTATCATATATTATGGCGGGGTGGGTTATTTATATATATTACAGTACAGTAGATATATTATAATAACTATCGATGTATATGCTATTGCCCGTCTTCAACGCCTTGTCCAACTTTCAAAATTCGTAAGATGTGATTTAAAATTAAAAATCTTATAATTCAAAGATTGAGTAATACAAAAGTAAAGTAATTCATTTACATCGTTGTTAAGCGTACAAATGTTTGTGAATAATGTGAAGTGTGTCACGCATAATAGTTAAGCATATGTCTCTTAATTATCTTAAGTTTAAAGAGTGTGATTTAAAAAAATTTCTTAATAAAGGTGATGCTGTTTCGCGTGCCCAAACCAAAGACCGTAAGCTTCCCAATTATTTATTTTATATTTCTCTTGAAGAAACGGAATGGTTGGCTCGTAGATGGATTTTTTCTTCATCTACCTGCTTGTCTTGGTGGTCTGCATTCGTTTTCCAACGGAGCGTTGGGTCCAAAACCATTCCCTTATTTTTTGTTCGGTTAAGGATAATTATGTCGGCCCTTCTGTTTTGATGGCTGTTATCTTTGGTTAAGACCAAGTAATGGACTTCTTCGTACACCTCCAATCTCCTCTTCCTAAACATGTTCGCTAGCTGAGTGTGTATTTTATGGTGTGCTGAATTTCTTAATAGCTCTGATTGCGGACAAGAACCATGGACATGGGAAAGCGTTTCTATTGTGTTATTATCACCACAAGAAGGATTCCTGCAGTGGCGGTTTCCCTGACTCCGTCCTCCTGTTGCGCGATCTGCCATTGAATTCATTGAGATCTTAATACATTTACACCAGTCACTACTTGTAATGCCCGATTTATTTGATACTCAGCTGTTAGCTGGGGTGAATGATTTATACCATTTCACTCCTATTCCTCTCTGTGGCATTTGTGTTCATTTTTAAAATTCTAAAGCTCTAAGTTCTGCTCTTATAGCACACACATTTTTTCCAGTTATTCCACCGAGGGTATCTCTGCAATGTTAAATTTCTGCTTCCATATCCCGGACAGTGTGAAGATGATTGTCATTAATTTTAAGCAAAGATTGTCATATATTGATGTGTTGGAGAGATGCTTCCTAAGTAACTCTTAAAATTCCAAGGCCACGTAGTTTTCGACAAGCGTAGTATACTGGTAGCGGAGTGTCTGCTGGAAATTCTACTTTCTCCCTAACTCCTTGTCTTATAATAAAATCTATCGATTCTAGGAATAGGTGATGTAAAAGATCCAATGGATCTATAATAAATGAATAGTTTCCCCTAATTTTGGATTTTATTTTAAATTTCGAAAAATGAGTTATAAATCTTGTAATTCTTATCATATTTTTAATCTTTATAAAATGTACTACTCACAGAATTGTGAGAAATAATTTTTCACGGGAAATAATTTTAATCAGATTTATTAAATCCGGCAAGTAAACGTCAAAAATTATCTAAAACAGTTATTTTGCATAACCAATAAGCATATTTATCAACCAAAATGTATATTTTGTAAATTTTTTAATTTTAGAATTATATTTATATTGTACTTATTTAATATTTTTTTTAGGTTGTACTACAACCCAAAGAGATCTAAGACCAATATGTCATAAATAAATCTGTTATCATAACTTATAAATTAAATTATATAATTCATAAACCAGTTAGATTTATTTGTCAGATTTGTTTCTATCCTCAAATCGAAAATAAATATTCATTAAAAATGTTTTCTATAATCTGCATATTTTACAATATTATTGATAATAGTCTAATATTGATAACGTTTGTTACCCAAATTGTCTTCTTTGCATTTAGCGGTATATTTCAATGATTTTATGGTGATAATATCGAAGGCGGCATTCTAGTTTTATTTTATATCAGTGGTACGACCTTATATAAAATTATCATTACGTGAGTATGTTATCAATTTCTAAAGGCTGAATTGGTAATGAAATATATCATCACTTAGTTTTAGCAAATGGAGAGTACATAAGTGAAATATTAATTATATATCATGTAATTAATTGCTTCATATTATTTAGACAGTTTTTGACAATTTTTAATTTTCAGATTTAAAATGTTAACAATGTTAAACAGACATTTACTTGGAAAAAGTCTTAATAAAATACAATTGAATAATTCAAGATTACTCATTACTGCTCATACACAGTCTACATTTACTAATAATCAAGTTGAACTAGGAGAAGATAATGTACTCAAAGAAAATCCATATTATGAAATATATAAAGAAAAGTTGCATAGGTTAAAACAAGAAAATCTGACGGCCTATAAAGAAAAAGTTGACAAATTAAAAGCAATGAAAAAACCTTCTGTTAAAGTTACTAATGAAGAAATAGGTATTAAATCTCAAGATTCTAAAACAGACAGTTTTAAATCCATATTCAAAGCAAAGCCAGCTCGTATTGTATCCCAAACTAATTTAGTGAAACAAAAAATGTTAATAGATGTAATGAACATAGAGTTGTTGCAACAGAAAAGTATTACCCAAATTTCAGAGGTAAACAAAATTAGTAATAAATATACATTTAAATAAATTATATTTAATTAAAATAAATACATTTGAAATATGAAAAAAAAATAAAATAGAATAAATAAATAAATTGTATCTTTTATTAAAATATTTTTATATAATTATTGAGGAGTTATGACATTGATAAAATTATTTAATTTAAAATCTTGTTGTTATAATAAATTTTTGTATAAAGAGTGTTTGAAATTTGGTAAGACAATTATTTTCTCAGAAACTATTGAGTTTTAAATGTTTATAAAGTAAAAAAAATTAGTTTTAAAATACTCTACAATAAAATGTAGTTGTCATTTTTTTTCACTCTTTCAGATATAAAAATCTTTTTTTATAATTTTATTAAATAGAAAGCTCTACTTTTAATATATAATATGAAAGAAAAAAAAATTACTAACAACTTTGTTCTTACAATTCTTTTTTTTCCAATAAACTGTCAGTGTTTTACAATTTAAAGATTTAGATGTCAAGTAAAAAGTTTATCATCAATGTATATTTTTAACTGCTGTTTAGTATAAAAGATGTTTTTTAAAATTCATGCATTGTGAAAGAAGAGTTATTTGTAATAACAATAACAATTTTACCAAAAATAACTTAAGCAAGCTATAATAAACAAAATTAAGACATCTAAATCTTTGATCTTAACATTATGGTAGTGAGGTGAAAAATTATACTGCTCATTTAATACCTTTAATTGCACATCAATGAAAATGCTTTTGTATGATATCGTTAAAGAAAACAATATTGATTACTCAATAGTCTTAATGCGAGTATTTTAAACCATTTTTTTTTACTTTATAAAAATTTAAAACTTAATAGTTTCTTTAAGAAATGAGTCTTACTAGTTTTAAATTATTTTATATTTATGGATTCTGAGAATGTCACAATTAATATTTTTAATCTAAATATTTCAAATTGATTTTTTTTCTATATTTAATTGACACATGGAACTATGTATGATGTTTTTTAAGTTTTTAAAAGGCATATAAAGCATGATGCCTACTAAAGTAAATTATAAATTTAATTTATATTTATTTAGTTTAAATTCAATAATATTAAATTTTGCATCATTATGTTTGTTTCTTTAGATTTGGATTCAATATCACAAAGAAAAAAAAGATACACCTGTTCTTTCAGCTGTCATACCATATAAAAATTATAAAGCATTTTATGTTAAATCTTTAGAATATCCAATGGTAAGTATAAACTAAATGAAGAATTAACTCTATCTGTGTGAAATGTGTCAATTTTAGTCTATATAGCCTTTCAATAACACATATTATTAGTCATTTCAAAAAATTAGTGGAAATTAATATTTCAAAATAATAGTTTCATCGAATAAAATAAATATAAAATAAATTCTTATTATTACTATTAATTTTAAATACCTAACTTATTATTAGTGTTCAAGTATTATTATTAAACAACATATTGTAAAATGTGCTTTAGTTCAATATAGATTTTATTTGTTTTTATAATATCAAGATAAAATTAGACTTCTAAATATACTTAATTCACTAAGTGCTCGTGCTAAAGAACTTATCAACTCATCAAAATTTTTTGTAAGAAATAGGATAAAAAATGGCTATTTTGACATTTTGCATAATTTTTTATTTCTAACTTACATTTAATATGATAGAAACACATATAAAGACTAGAACTTTTTAATCTAAAATAAAATCTGCTAAATATTCTAAGAGAAAAAATGTATTTACAATTACCCCATTTTAATTGTTGATATTATTAAACAACACACTGGGTACAGTAATATTATTTAAGATAACAGTTTAATGTATTTTTACTTATGTTAGTATAGTACAAGGTCAAAGGGACACATTCCTTTTACGATTATGTTGTTTTACTCAATGCAGCCTATTGTATACATGTTTACAGTTTAGTCGTAGTTTCACCGTCTATCGAGTAAAGTGACCCGTTGCCGTTGTACATCTCTTATATTATATGTTTTGACATTTTATATTAAATACTATTATATTACGAATAATTTCTAAATCTTTTAATTACATAACCTATTCCATTCAACAGGTTATGGGCCCAGTACCCAGTACTTAATATTTAGATTTTTTTATTTGTAATATAATTAATCGTGAAATTTAAAAGTGCGTTCGCGTAGTAAGTGCGTCGATCGTGTTAAATATTATTGTAATTTTTTATTGTGTGCAGACAGTGTACAGGAAATTCGTTATCATGGAAAACGAATCTATAAAAATTAACAAACTAAACGGCAGTGAAAATTGGGCAAAATGGAAATTTCAAATGACGGTAATATTAAAATCATATGATGTGTTGTTCTCTGTAATAGATGGAAGTTATGAATATCCAATTCAAATTATAAAACATGATACAGAAACAGACACAGAGGCACAATTGCGTTTAGAACAAGTGCAGCAAAAATGGTTAATGACAGATGCTAAGGCTCAACGTTTTATAGTTATGTCAGTAGATGAGCAGTCATTAGATTATATAATGAACTGTGACACAGCAAAAGGTATGTGGAATAAATTACTGAGTGTATATGAACAAAAGTCTGATACATCAATTACATTGATTCAGCAAAAATTTTATAGTTATGTTATGGATAAAAATGATAATATGGCACAACATATATCAAAATTAGAAAACTTGAGTAAACAATTAAAACAGTTAGGTGAACCAATATCCGATTCAATGCTTATAACCAAAATTCTTATGACCTTGCCAGAAAATTATAAATATTTTTATAGTGCATGGGATTCTATATCATCTGAGAACAAAACATTGTTAAACTTGACATCCCGACTTATGGTAGAGGAAACAAGACAAAGTAATGGCCATGAAATCCAGAAAAATAATGGTGAAAATAAAGCATTTGCGGCGAAAAAATTGTTTAGAACGCAAAAACAAAAATATTCAAAATTTGGAAATCAACAAAATAATGATAGAAAACCAGGAATTTGCAATTTTTGTAAGAAACCAGGTCATTGGAAACGTGATTGCTGGATTTTGAAGTAAGAACAAGACATAAAGTATAAAAACGAATCAAATTCTGGTAATGCACTAATAGGCATTAATTCAATGGTAAGCAAAATTAGTGATTTTGATAAATGGTATGTGGACTCCGGTGCAAGTGATCACATGACCAGTAGAAGAGAGTGGTTCAGAACTTATGAGTCGTTCAAGATTCAGTTGCCAGTACGTATTGGTGATGGTAAATATATTATGGCTATTGGTAAAGGTAATATATATGTTCAAGCAAAAATTGGCGAAAAATGGGTTGACAGTTATTTGTCAAATGTTTTACATGTACCTGAACTCAAAGTAAATTTGTTTTCATGTGGAGCGTGCCTTGATAAAGGTATAATAATGATAACAGACAAAAATGTTTGTACATTTAAAAGAGGAAATAGTACAGTTGCTGTTGGAATTCGTGAGAATAAATTGTTTTCGATGATTTTTAAAACAAGGATTTCGCAAGAGATAGATCAAGTGAATATTGCTGAAAAAATTCTTACATTACAACAGTGGCATGAAAAACTAGGTCATCAGAATGTTCAATATGTTAGAAATTACCTAAGGCATATGGGTATTCAATTCACAGATATGGAAAACAAATTTTTCTGTGAAGCTTGCATTTATGGTAAACAACACAGAGAACCATTTACACTGAGCAGTACCAAAACAACAAAACCAGGTCAGATAATTCACAGTGATGTTTGTGGACCCATGGAAGAAAATTCTCTTGGTGGTAAAAGATACTTTGTTATATTCAAAGATGATTACTCTAAGTATACATATATATATTTTATGAAACAAAAATCAGAAGTAAAAGAGAAGTTTGAATTATTCTTAAATACAGTGAAAAATCAGTTAAATATATCAGTTCTTACTTTACGAAGTGATTGTGGCTTGGAATATAAGAATGATGAAGTCAAAGCTATTTTGAATAAATTTGGTATAAAACATGAAACCAGTGTACCATATACACCACAGCAAAATGGTAAAGCAGAACGAACAATGCGTACAATAGTAGAAGCAGCTAGAACTATGTTATACAGTAAAAATTTGTCAAAAAATCTTTGGGCTGAAGCGGTAAATACAGCTGTATATGTATTGAATCGTACGTTAAATTCAGGTAACAAAGAAAAAACGCCCTATGAATTATGGTATAATAAAAGTCCCAATATAAGCAATTTTAAAGTATTTGGTAGTGAAGTTTATGTTCATATACCAAAAGAAAAACGTAGAAAATGGGATCAAAAAGGGAGAAAAGGAATATTTGTTGGGTATTCAGAAGAAACTAAAGGATACCGCATATGCTTTGATGGAAAAGAAGTTTCATTAAGCAGAGATGTTATATTCAAAGAATCTATGGAAATAGAAATCAAAATTAGAAAAGAAGATGAAGAAATAAATTCAGAAATGGTGGATGAAAGTGAAGAAAATAACATTAATGATGAGAATAATGTTGAAAGAAAACAAAATATGGATGAACTTGATCAATCAGCAGATCAGACTCATGAGCAATTAAAAATGAGACTTAGAGATAGACAAAATATAGAAAAACCAGTAAGGTATAGAACAGAAACATTTTATTCAATGTGTGATAATCCAGTTACATATGAAGAAGCTATGACACAAGAAAATTCAGAAGATTGGAAAGAAGCAATGGATGAAGAAATGTTGTCATTAAAAAAGAATGAAACCTGGAAATTAGTAAATATACCAACAAATAAAAAAGTACTTAACAATGGCTGGGTATATCGAACCAAACTCAAGAAAAATGGAGAAGTTGATAGATTTAAAGCCAGACTAGTTATAAAAGGCTATGCACAAGTGCATGGAATTGATTTTCAAGAAACTTTTAGTCCAGTTGTAAAGTATGACTCTATACGAGTACTGCTAGCAATAGCAGCAGCCAGAAAATTAAAACTCAGACAATTTGATATTAAAACAGCCTTTTTATATGGTGATCTTGAAGAAGAGATTTACATGAACCAGCCAAAAGGTTATGAAGATGGAACTAAACAAGTTTGCAAACTTCAACGAAGCTTGTATGGATTAAAACAAGCACCCAGGTGCTGGAATACAAAATTTAAAAATTTGTTGTTAAAATTTGATCTAAAAGAAACAAAGGCAGATCCCTGTGTATTTGTAAGTAATAAAAATGAACAATTAATGATTGTAGCTATTTTTGTAGATGATGGGATTATAGCAGCAACAAATGATGAGCAGGTGGACATGATGGTGAAGTACCTGATGAGCAACTTTGAGACAAAATCAGGTGAACTTAATCATTTTCTGGGTATTGAAATTGATCAGAGATCAGATGGTTCAATATTTATACATCAGTCATTATACTGTCAACGCGTTTTGGAGAGATTCAATATGGCTGAATCCAACGCCCTATGCATTCCTGCAGATCCACAACACTCATTAGATGCAAATTTATCTGAATCATTACAAGCAGGGGAAGTTCCATACAGAGAAGCAGTAGGAAGTTTGTTATATCTAAGTCAGATCACAAGGCCTGATATAACATTTGCTGTAAATCTTGTCAGTCGCTATTTAGAAAAGCCTCTTATAATACATTGGAATGCGGTGAAACGTATTTTAAAATATTTAAAAGGAACCTATAACTATGGTTTATTTTTTCATTCTAGGGTGAAACTTAAGTTACATGGTTATAGTGATGCAGACTATGCTGGTGATACAACAACAAGGCGATCAACATCAGGATACATTTTCATGATGACTAATGGAATAATAGCATGGTGTTCACAAAGGCAAAAATCAGTAGCACTCTCAACTACTGAGGCTGAATACATGGCACTGAGTCAAGCAGTCCAGGAATTAACTTGGTTGACGCTACTAACAAGTGATCTTCTGGAAACACAGGGAGAGACACCTGTTTTGTACGCGGACAATCAAAGTGCCATAAAATTGGTGAAGAATCCAGAATTCCATAAACGAACTAAACATATAGATGTTCGTTATCATTATATTCGTGAGAAGTTCAATGAAGGGATGTTTTCACTGGAGTATGTGACCAGCAAAGAGCAGTTAGCTGACATCTTGACCAAGCCAACACCACGAACAAGATTTCAAGAACTCAGAGAAATGTTAGGAATTAGATATATAGATTTATAATTTTTTAATTAACTATGTACGGGTGTATTGTTTAAGGGGAAGTGTTGATATTATTAAACAACACACTGGGTACAGTAATATTATTTAAGATAACAGTTTAATGTATTTTTACTTATGTTAGTATAGTACAAGGTCAAAGGGACACATTCCTTTTACGATTATGTTGTTTTACTCAATGCAGCCTATTGTATACATGTTTACAGTTTAGTCGTAGTTTCACCGTCTATCGAGTAAAGTGACCCGTTGCCGTTGTACATCTCTTATATTATATGTTTTGACATTTTATATTAAATACTATTATATTACGAATAACTTCTAAATCTTTTAATTACATAACCTATTCCATTCAACATTAATAATAATTATTAAAAAAAAAGTTTTAACAAAATGATTATTAAATCAAAAGTTATTGGATTTGTTATACCGTTGTCATTCAAACTGTATATGTTTGTAGATATGTTTGAAATGTATTGATATCTATTGATAATAAATAGTACTAGATTTTCCAGGGGGTGCATTGCACTAAGACTTTAAGAATTCATGTTTTTTTGTAGATCTTTTTGTGTATTCAAAAAATGATATACGAGTTATGTATAAATTGTAAGCTGTATCGTACGTCAGTAGTGCCCAACGTAGACACAAAAGTTTAACACAAATTTATTAATGTCAGCCCCAATCTCTCTAATTAGTGGACTACTAAAGGGGTAGAGTTTAGACCCGTCAGCACAGTCTAGCTCAAAAGTAGTAAACTGAAGGGTGGCTCCTTGTCAGCCACCAGCACTTGTTTTTTAGAACATAATTTCAATTTTTAGTTTGTGTCTTAAAAATAAATTGAGCTACATCTAAAATGTAAGCCAATAATATTATTTTGTAAAATGCTTAAAATGTTTTTGTTTTCTTAAACAATTTTTAAGATTATATATTTGATACCTTTCTAACAGACATCATATGTTTAAGTATAAGTTTCTGATCAGCGTATGCTTTATATTAAAAAATAAAATGTTAGTTTAAAAATATGTTAGTACATATGAGATATATTAGCATAGAGATGTATATTATTTGATCAAATTCTTAGATTTCATTTATTAATATAAAATTATTGAAAACAAAATTATTTTAGTTTGTGCTACCTTTACCAAGAACAAATCAAGGATATGAATTTATGCTTGTACAATTTCAACATTATGATAGTGAAGTTAAAAATTGTACTGCTCATTTAACACCTTTAATTGCATATCAGAAATACAATGAAAATGCTCCTGAATGTATGTCTATTGAATATTTTTCTGATCTTGTCAATGAAAATAATATTGATAACTCAATAGTCTTAATGCGATCATTTTATGATGATAAATTATTGGTATGTATAATAGTTTTTATGTAATATATACTACTCTTATTTAGTGACCACTAACAAAAATAAAAGTTATTTCCCTAAATTCTTTCTGTACAGTTTTAATAAACGCATTTTAATTAGAACATATATTATATATTGTTTTTTTATACTGATCAAATAAAATTTTTATAAAAATTAAATTTTCTTCTATTTTTAATTAATGATGTGTGAATTTTTTTTCCTAAATTTAAGCAGCCAATATAACTTTCTAGCCTAAGAAAGAACTAGTTTAAAGTTTATACTTTGTAAACTCATTCAAAGTAAACAAAAATTAATTACTATAATTAAAGTATTTTTATGAGTAAAAAATATTCACAATATATTCTTAAAATACTAACCACGAATGATTTTAATAAAAATTTGTGTGGTGTGCCACCCTCACACCTCCCTATGATAGTATAATTTATGTTTTTTTGGCAATCAAATTCAACAATATAAGATTGAAATGCAATGTTTGTGAAAAAATTTCTAATCTAATTTAGCTGAATCTAAAATAACCAAAAAATTTTCAAACATTTTACATTTTTTTTTTGCTCATATTTTTTTTTTTATATTATGTTGAAATATACATATTTAGGTAGGTGTGGACTTCTTGTCCAAAATTTTTTTCAAATTAAACTAAATTTGGTAATAGTTTGTAAGGAGGGTTAAATTTTCTTTCTTCAGAATAAAATCCTTATTACATAACTATATGTACACTGGAAAATATTATTTTTACCTTAATTAATTTATCTTAATATTAATTTTTTTAACAGTCTTCAATGGAAGCTACTTGCCTAGTCAATCAATTAAGAATCTTCTATGAAGAGAACAATTTCAAACATGAAACATTATTGAAGTTATTCAACAAAGGACATTCAGAGTTCCACTATTCAGATGTTATAGCTTGTGTAGAAACACTTTCAATTTAAATTATATTATAATTAATTATTTTTCATAAAAATCTTAAGCTATTTATTTAAAATAATCAAGTATCCTATATTAATATCTCATTAGTAATTGTGTTCTATTATAAATTAATTTTATTACTTCTGTTATATACAAGACTATGAATTATGTGCAACCATGACTATGTATGTTATGACATGTGATTTAGTAACAAGTAGGATAAATAGGTCATATTTCTTTGTGGCAAAAATCATTACCTTCATAATAAAGATATAATTTGTTTTTCGTTGGAAGGGGAAGTGAGAAAAACTTTCTTGTTTTTTCTTGCATGACAAAACACTAGTTATGCCACTGGAACACTTTATAAACATTAGTTAAACATTTGGTAACATTTTTATTTTTTTGTTATCCAAGATAAAGTTATGGAATTTTTTCTTTTGTTTTGTATTAATTATAACGTAATCGTAATCTTTTCACAAGTTAAAATTTAAAGAAAAAAATGGTAATGAGAATTTTTTACCTACTATTCAGTATGTTTTTAAATATTTTATGACTATCATTTTTAATAAACAATAATTTATTTTGACCCAAAGTTTTTTTAACCTGAAATTTTTCAAAAAAATTCTTTTGGAATTATTAATATTTTTGTAATAGGGGTTCTTAAAGTAAAACGTTTTAAATTATTTATGTTAGATAATATATAAATATTCCACTCTGCAGAAATTCTAGTGAGTTTGATTTGGGAGACAATGGTCTCTCTTTCCCGTAAATCTGCCATTAATTGTTAAATTAATTCAATGCTTTCTCTATTATTCATTGATAATACAAGTAAAATATTTAGTTATGTTTTTAATGAAACAAAAATAAGAAGAAAGTCCATTAATGATGTATATTTACAATTTTATTATAACAAGTATAAGACAATATTGATTATATATATTTTAAATAAAGTGTTCTATCGAAAACTTAAATTCTATGTAAAAGATATACAAAGGAGTAACTAAAATAAATGAGTATCAAAAATTATAGAAGAAAAATTAAAATAGTTTTGATAAATAATTAAATAATATATTGTGTTTTGTAACATTGATAAAATACAAAATTAAAAAAAAAATCATAACAATATAATATTGAACAAAATAATATTACTATAAAGTTTGTAGAACCTATCAATAACTAACAATCAATATTTAAAAATGAAATATCACCAACAATGACTCAAAACAGAATGCATTGTTTTTACGAGAGAAAAAAATTAACGTTTTATAAATACAAATTATGAAATCGCATAAAAGATATCATTTAATAAAATTATAAAACAAAATAGTGAAATTTATATAAACGTATTGAGCGTTTATGATTCATTTTAAAATTATTTTATTAAAAAAAATAAAATCATAGGAAACTAGTGGATACAAATGATTTAGCAATAAAAAGTTTATTTTTGTGACTTGTAAGCACTAATATATTAGTAATATTTTGTAAATAGAAATAAATGTATGCATGTATTTTTCATATAAAATTATAATACATTGTTTCAGTATATAACATATTTTGTTATAACATTACCATAATTACTATTAGTTCAAATTTAATGTCAGTATCATCATTAAAAATCAAGCAAATGAAACCTAAATTAAAAACTCTAAAATTTTTCTTAAAAGAATTTTGGAATAGCATAAACATGTAAATATATAATATATATATATATATTATTTAAAGGTAAAATTCCAAAAGTATAGTATTAACAAATGGTATAAAAAGTTAAAACATTTAGATCATGAATTATTATACATATCCTATTTACTGATTTTAGTTTAATCGGCAGAATGAACTTGTTTCATACAATATACCTTAAGTCTACCTCATTTTGAGGTATTTAATAAATGCATACGTGTGTTGTGCAGTTAAATATTTCTAATGGATAATTTCGTATGTTATATTAAAAATGAGTCACAGCAAGTATAATAAAAAAATTAATTAAAGTGTTTTCTATAAGATAATTTAAGTAAAAATTATTTTTAATTTATTTATAAATTATAAAATTGTATGAACACTTTTGAGTCAAGTTGTATACATGTAGTGGATTATTTAAGTAGCTGATAATTGTGGAGCAGGTGTAGTGTGATCACCTCCCAGTGAAAGTGCTTGTACTATTCTTGGATCAGCTTTGCTTCCTTCCCGGAATTCTTCTAAGGTAAGTTTATCGTCATGATTTTTATCCATTTGATCAAAAATTTTGTCCACTCTTTTCTGTGGTGTATTCTCATCTTCAGCTTGAGGCTGTTGACCCTAAAACAAATCCCAATATTTGGATTAGTATAAATTCATTATTATATTTATTTAATATTCGTTATTAATTGCATACAATATAAATATACCAAGATTTCATAAATTGTCTTTAATTCATTCTTTCATTTCTAGCTAAACTTAAGAAATTACTTATAATTAATTATTAATTTCTTTGACATAACAATATTGCGTTGTATAATTCAATTTGGAGACCAATATTGGTTCTGAATTGTATTTAATTAATATAATTAGTTGAATTCTTCAAGAAAAAATATGAAATATATTTACAAGTAACCAGTTTCAAGATGGAACTTTTTAAGTATTAGCATTTTTCAATACATTTGAAGTAATTAAAATATAAATGATTGTGTACTGGAGGCATATAATCAATTTAAATTTAAAAAATGTAGTTGCTAAAATGTTATAACCTAAATACTAATTTTTAATCAGTAGACTTATTCATAATGGTTATCAATCTATACCGATCTATCGCAATGGAATACAAGTCTACTATTTGTTTAAAAATGTTATGTCTGAATATGCAAACTTTTTGTATATAATGTAAAAATTACACTAATTTTTGTAAAATATATTAGACTAAACATTTTTTAGTTAACAAATTTTCTTTAGTTCCATGAGAATCATACAACATAAATAGTCTAGTTTTGTAAGGAATTTATGCCTCTATAATTTTTTTTCAATTACTAGAAGTGGAGAACAAAAAAAAATTCGTGCAATTTTTGAGGGGTTGGGGCGATTTTAAAATTAAAAACGGTAGCACAGTATGGACGTGGNAAGTGGAGAACAAAAAAAAATTCGTGCAATTTTTGAGGGGTTGGGGCGATTTTAAAATTAAAAACGGTAGCACAGTATGGACAAATATAGTTGGACAGTATAGTTGGGACAAATATATATATATCTGACAGTGATTAAAATTACTATCATAAGAAACGCTTCGATGCAAATCTGTAGATAGTGTTTAATTATAAGAAATTGGTGGATTATTTAAAAGCAAAATTCTAACTCAAAAAGAATTAAAGAAAAACTGCAAAAAAATCATTGCCACAGACAGTGATTTTTACTGAATCGGCAAACGTTCGTCGCATTGATTATTTGTTAAAATTGGCAATTTAGGCTGATTCAAATGTTAAAATTAATATTTTCGACTTAAAAATGAATTGAAATAAGTTTATATTCTATGTCAATTAGATTTATATATTATTCATTAAAATCAGTGTACCCCCTTTAAGGTGTTTTAAAATAAATTACAATACAATACCAAGAATTTTAATACAAAAATAGCATAGTTTTGAATATAACCATTATCACTATAACTCGAAATCATAGTGCATAACATTATTTTTATTTTAACATATGTTTGAAGCTTGGAGTATTTTCGAAACATTTTCAAAACTTAGGTTAAATTTTTGTACAGAAGTTGCTATTTTGAATTCCCCCCTGTAGACAGATAAAGCGTCAGATTTTCAAAACATTTTTATCAAATGAAAGAAAAACAAATAAGGTTATAATAAAAAAAAGAATTATTTTAAATTTTTCCAAAGGTTATAAAAGTTTTAAGTATTAAAATATTTCATGTTAAACAGTGATTTTTACAAAAAAAAATGATATTTTTCGTTAAATTCGAGGGCCATTTTCCCATAGAAGAACAGGTGTCGGTACAAAATTTTTTTTTGTACTTATAGTACATAGTATAAGCTTTAATTCGACATATATTTGAAAATAAAAGTATTTTCGGAACATTTTAAAAAGTTAAGTTGAAAAAGTTCTACTTTTTACTTGTATTTTTAAAAATTTAAACCCTCCCTGTATAAAGGTAAATGGTCTGATTTAAAAAAAAATATGTCTAATAAAATAAGTAAGCAAAAATAATTTATGAAAAAAAATTGTATTGATCCATACACTTTTCAAAAAGTTATAGTAATTTAAAGTTGAAAAAATAAAATATAAATCGTTAATTTTAACACCAAAATTGTTTTTTAACTATGGCAACCATTTTTACATAGAAGATAAGTCGTCAAGAAAAGATAAGTTCAAAAAAATTATATCAAATGAAAGGAAAGTATCAATGGTTTCAATTTAAAAAAAAATTATTTTGATTTGTTCATTTATTAAGAATTTATGGTAAGTTTTAGAAAAAAAGTGAAGAAAAATGTCGAAATTTACCGATTTTAAAAATCGTAATTTTTTGGAGAATTTTCACTATTTACGGGGAACGAGGGGAAAATTTTCAATTTTTGAGGGTAATGTCTTCAACTAGATACGATTTGTGATCTTTTGACTTATCGTTGAAAAACTCGGTCCAGTAACATCTGAAAAAAACTAGTGACAGACACAAAAAAAAAATAAACACATCGAAGCTAAAAAAATGTTGTCCTATCTACTATTTTTGACTTTGACGCCACTGTTATGTATACAAATGATAAATGAATATACTTAAATTGAGTAGTATAGCTAAAGTCGTTAACACTTGTAGGTTGAAGCATTTTGTTTTTACTATACGTATCATTAAGTATTTTTACAATTATCTAATTCCCTTATGGACTTTCTAAATTAAAAAAATAAAGTTTTCTTATCGGTTAACTTTAACCTTTGAGACAATTTGTTAAATATAAAAAAAAAACTCTGGTAATATTATACATTTAAACATTAAACATATAACATTTTTCATTAAACTCCAAATTAATCATAAATAGCTGCTCAGATATCAGATGTCACTACAATATACTCGAATATGGCGTAAACATTTATTGGAATGTTTTATTTAGTGTCATTTTTTTAAACAAATAGAATATTATATATGATAATTTTTTTTTTGCAATTTAACAACAACGAGTCAAAAAATATTTTTATTTAATTATGTAAAAAGTAACGTATCTAATTATTCTACTTATTATAATTGAAATTTTTACAATAATGTTGGCATTTATAAAATATTCCAATGAATAATGTAGTCTTAAATAAAATAATGCTTAATTTTATGCTTTTGAATAACCTTTACGAAATTTAATGATGAAAATTACTATTTGTGAACACTTAAATTGAACACTATCATAGGCGTAGATTGAAAAATTTGTCTGTGTGGATTATTTCATTTTATGGAATAATAAACCTGATGGGAAGGTTCTTTACCACTTGTTTTATCTTTCCCTCTTTCTAAAAAATTTAATTAATTTATTAGGGCTGTAAATATTTTTATGGGAGCTAAAACTACTGCCCTTATTTAAAATACGCTAATGAACAAAAGTAAAAATTTAAAAATAAAATAAAATTCTAATTACTATAACAAAATTATTTTTATAAAAATAATTCAACACAATATTTGTCTTTGGCATTTAATTTGTTCAACGAATAATATGTGCGTAAAGTCTAATTTACTGATTCCTGTTATTCAGTCTTGTAAATCATTTGAGTAAAATGTAATTTATTTATTATAAAGTATTTAAACACTAATAAAGTATTTATAATAATTCTGAAAATATTTTTATTTTGGTTATTCGAAATGTATTTAAAATAGTTATACATTTGTATGTGTATTTCAAATATAAATACTTTAGGGACATTATCAAAATATTAATTTTTTTAATGCTAGCGTGTAGTGAGAGTTTTATCTGATGAAATCACAAAACTTGGGTAAAATCTACAAGTTAACATACTAGTACTGATGTATTCATAGATTAAACACACATATGTATTTAATTCATGTTATATTGATGACAGTCTGCTGGATAAAATCTATCATTGGATGCGCAAATTCGTTATAGGGATTAAGAGAATTTTAAACAATATTCAAAAATACTTGTGAGTTGTAACATTTTCCTACTGATGACACTGTGCATGATACGAACAATTACGAAAATCTGACCTTTGTTTTTTACAATTCGTGTGTTGAACTATTTTATGAGATGTTTCTAAAGTATAAGGTATACTGATTTATCGCTTAAATTACCACGGGACGAGTATATAAACTATGTTAAAATTAACTAAAAATATATATTTTTTTTATGTTACTTTTGTACCAGAAATTTAAAATTGAATAAAAATATGACGTTTATACTTTTAAAACTCACTAATTCATCAACTAATGAGTTGATAGAATCCTAATATTTTGTATACAATTGTATATAGATATATATTAACCAAATCTCATTGAGCCTGAGAAAAAGAAAGATCTCTTTAGTTTGTTACAATTGATCTTAGTTTTTGGAAATGGAACACCATAAGTTCAAAACACTATTTGAGCCAATTATTTAAAAAAAGTTGACAAAAATATTTTTAATTGGCTTCTCCCCATAAAGTTGATCAGACAACAACCCTAGATATTAGTGAACTAATATCCATATTATTGTTATAAAAATTATTCGAAATTCTTGAGTCAGTAATATACAGATTTTCTTATAAATAAATTCTATTAATAGGTATTTGTCAACGTTATCGTACACAGTAAACGTTCAATAAAAAACCGTCATATTATTAATAATATATATATATATATGGTTAATCAAGTAAGTCGCACCATTTATGAATAAAATTAAATTTCAAATGTGTAGGGAGAGGTTTACGTGTAGCTATGCCCTCAAAAGATTTGATACTTGTTTTGTTGCTTATAAAAAATTAGGAAGGGAAAATTATGTAAACTCACTGCAAAAAATGTCACCATCTTACGCTAATGATAGTTTTGAAAACTTACTATTCCTTACATTAACTTAACTTAACGAGTTAAGTTAATAAGATTTTTTCAACGCAACTTCATATAATTAACTTGTTATTTAAAAAAAATAATAGATTAACTTTATCTATCAACTCGTTAAATTTTTTCAATTAACTTAATTTTAATAAGTTTAAAAAATAATAAACTTGCCCATCCTTGAATTTTTATTAAAAATGAAAAATTAACCAAAAGCCATCTCCTCATAATTATAATTACCAGTCATAAAACTGTAAATATCAATTTTACATATAGAATATTATTATTACATATAGAATAAATCTGTTGTCGTGAATCATTTATTTAATTGAAAAATAAATTCATCCCTATGACATAAGGAATGGACATAAAAAATACATCACTGTTTAAAAGTTGATAAATTAAGTAAATAAAGAGAATAAAATATTATACTAACACATTTAAGAGATAAAATAATTCTACCTTATACAAACTGTATTGTTTTTTGTTCATATAATCTGACACTAAGTTATTCTTTGTTATGCGATTAATAGTGGAGTTGCTAAAAAAAAAAAAGTAGGTCCCTTATCATAGTTATAACAGAATAATAATTTAATTTACTCGTGTAAGTTGCACAACTTGTTCTTCATATCATGTTAAATATTTACTTAGTATTTGTCCTAGTCCACAAAAGGGATTTTAGATATTATTGATATTTACAAAAATATATCATTAATAGGATATACTAATTTTAAATTTAGAGAAAAAACTTGTATATAATTTGGAAGATTTAAAAATGTATGTATTGAAAAAATAGCATATTTACCCCTCAAAAGTTTACTTTTTTAATTTTTTAATTTTTATTATGTTGGACAATTTTTAATAAAAATGATAACACAGAATTTTAGGTTCGAAAATTTATACCCTGTGTGCCAAAAATGACAACTGTGTGCATTAACACTACTGTAGTTACAGCATGAAGCTTAATTAATGATGATAATTGTCTTCCTTAACTGGAAAAAGTGAATATATGATTTGTGGTTGTAATCTAAATTAAAATGACAGTTGTTTATTTTTATTTTGACTAAAAATGTTTTTTGTGTATATAATATTGAGTATAATACTAGCACAAGAAACGCGTACAGTGTCAAACTGTACGGCATATCGCGCAAATTGGAGAAAAAGTTTAAATTAGATTGGAGTCTCGCTGTTATAATTTAACGGGTTTCGCAAACTATGTAGCGGCATTGAATAAAAAACAAATATTTGAATACTTGGGGTAGGTGGTTCTAACGAAAGCCATGTACTATAGTACATGAAATTACAGATTCTATAATACATACGCAGAAATCACTAGAGAAAATTCTGTAGAATTTGTTTGTTATATGTTTAAAGATAATTTGACCAGAGGTAAATTGAAAAATCGTCGTAGGATAATATAATATTTCGACGCACAATCCAGTAAAAAATAAAAACATAATTTTGTCATTGTCAAAGTTTTTTTCATCAGGACGCTTATATGATGATTTTATTAGTTCTAGTCTAATTACCAGCAAACCAATCTATTCCTGATGTGTTTATCAAATAATAACGAAAAACTCACTTGATTTTTGTGCAATAAATTTTAGTAAATATACTTGTATACTAATAAATATAACTCATTTAGCGTTGTTTAGTACCATGGCCCCTATTTACATGTATTGAAATCGTAATACATATATATGATAGTTGGCACTCTAGGCGACATGTTTTTCCTGATAAATGTCCGCGATTTAATGAAAAATATAATTTAATAACAAGTATTGAACAAAAAAAGGTAAAAAAAAAAATTGAATGTGATGGTTTTTCAGTGATAGTTTTTTATCATTCAATACCCATAAAAATTGAGATCGGCGTCATTTAGATTAAATGGTATTACCATTTATTCGATCCTTATAATATTCATTTGAAGTTACAGTGAATGAGAGTTAAATGAGTATTTCAACTTGTTCAAGCGGAGACAAATAAAATTTTTTTTTGGAAAGTCGATTGAGGTAGGCCAAGTGTGGTTCAAGTCATCATTTAAGGGAAATGAGTTAAACTCACATGTCGCATCGTAATCTTCCTAGAATTCTTGTTGCTAGTTATAGAAATCGGTGTACCAGGTGTCAGCTGTTTGCCCTATAGATGTGTAACCCATCAATTCGTGACGGTCAATTCGATATGATGAAAAAAGCCAATGTCGATGCATAACCATACAACCGTAAACTAAAAATTCGAATGCAACTACAACATACAAAACATCGAACACCATTATAAGTCGGTAAAACGGCAAACAAGCCGAGTAGCATGTGCCACTTAGCTGGTTTGAATGCAACTGATGACTAACGATAAAGTATAGTATTAATACACCAAAAAAAGCGGTGAATGGGTTATTGAACTAGTACTATGTGTGACAGATTCCTTCTAAGATCCTAAAAGACGAGAAAAAGTGACCAGACCAGTTAAACTGCTTATGATTTTACTTCCAATTCTTATACATTTGCTTAAGTAATGTTATTATTAACAACTTTCATTAATTGTAACGTGAGAAATTTAAGGTGATTTCATTGTAAACAATATACAATGGTTTGAATTGAAGCAGTATAAAAAAATTATTTGATTTCCTTTTCTCACTAGTTACTTAAGTAAACGAGTGAGAAAATTTTGATGCGAATTCTCACCAAGTATTATTTTTATTTGAAATTTGAATAATAATAAAATAATTGAATTGGACCAACACAATTACTCATTAATTATAAGTAATGAATTATAATACACTAATTACTAGGGTTCGGCGGGACTTATATCATTTGCTTATTTTTATTATTTGGAATTCAATGAAGCACAATGCTATAGATGTTTATGTCATGTTACGACGTTTGAAATTTGAAAGTGATTTTTAATGAAATTGCATATTTTAGTTTTTATGATTTTTTCTGTGATTTTATAACAAAATTCTTATTTTCCGTGTTGAAAATCTAAGTAAACATTTGATTATTAAGTCGAAATATTCAAAGCATGAAATATGCACTGCCAATAAATAAATAAGACAGGAAATAACTGGCAACGAATAAAATATCAAAATGTTACTTTGTCATTTTTATATTTATATTAGCTGCAATTGTACTGAATCGAACACTACCATTAAATGATAATACGGTATGATTAGTACAAAGTTCAATTACTGTAGATACTGTTATAACTGTAGATTAACCGGTGGTTTTTAGTCAAACGGTGTTTGTTGTACAGTGTTATTTTCATTTAATTATGAATATTATAAATCTAATAGATTCAAAAAAATTATGCATCGAAAGATACGTAAAAAATATATTTGACAAACTCGTATTAGATGGTGCTTTGTAAAATTTAGTTCGATTTAATGTCCTCTTATAATTAAAACAACTTTACAAAAAAAAAAAAACGATTAAAATGTACGCATTCAATATATAACAATATGTAAAAGTAATGAATATAACATAGAAAATACAAACATGTTTAATAAAATGGTTGAAAAAGCGTTAAATAATTTAACAAAATCATCTGAAACATTCAAAATTAGGTCATAACAAAAAAGTCGCATGCTGTCAGAAGAGACAATTAAATGGAGAATAGAGACAGAAGTCAAAAAATAATCCGACTAATCCGAATTTGTTTAAAGAGCTACTGAGCCAAGATGCCTTACTTTAGCATCTTCATATCAGTAAAAAATATAAAATTTCACTAACGATTGTTATTAAGTTTGAAATTCATTGTGATCTTAATTGAATTATTTGTTCACTCCCCAATTGGCGTAATATCACAATGATAATTTTTTTTACTTATATTCCTTCTAAAAATAATATTTTCGGTCGAAAATTTGGTATTTGTACGAATTTAAACGGGTCACGCCCCTTGGGCCTTCTATAATTACTCCCTAGATCTATTATTCTAAATCTATTAAATCTGATATATGTAAACATATTTCAAATATATGTAAGAAACCGTCATATAGGTTTCGATAACTTTTGATAACATTTATAACGTTGAATTATAATATTAATATATATTTACATAGAATACTACCCAACATTTTTGGTTAAATAATGATTTTTTCATAAAAATGTTCAAAAATTGTTTTTATAATGCATAGTCAATAACAAGTTTATGATATGAAAGAATTATTTTTAAGTGTAGATTTTAGAGGTGGTTTTGAAAATTAAATTACACTCCTCTCTGAACTGTGAAAAGTTTGGAATAGGGTCTTTCTCATAGTATTATAACAAAGTAAGCCTATGTGCATGTAAAAGTAAAACAGAATTCTATCACACATTAATATGTGTAATGAAAATTTTTCATAAAAATGACCCCTGAATCAAAATTATTAGAAAATCTTTATGATGTTTGGAAATCTTAAACATATTACATATTTTTCGTAACAAAATGTGTGTTGTTTTTTTTGTGGGGTGAACAAAAACGAAAGAATGACACGCATGGGAAATTAGATTTTCATGTTCATATTTTATCTTGTCATAGATCAAAAATTGTTAGTTTTTTTTTATTGCTGTTAAACATTTGACGTTTTATTTTTCTTATTTGGCGATTTTAGGTCAAACTGACACAATGTTGAATAGTGAATACCCTTAAACTAAATTAAAAATCCATTCTTTGATGCTAAAATAGGAACTTTCCACTATATGCTCTATGAAAGCATACAGGTGCTAGAAGAAAGTAATATCAAAATGAAATTTTTAATATTTTTCTAAAAATATACTCAACAGGTTGTTATACATTTATAAAAAGGTGTAGTTTACAATTTTATCACGGAATAAATTATTTTTTAAATTGTTTACGTATACTTACCACCATTTGATAGATAGCATCGACAATATTGTACATTTCATCTCTAGTGATAAACCCATCATTGTCTACATCATACAGACGAAAAGCCCCTATAACAATAACAACCATAAATAAAAAAGTTCTACGTATTTGTAAAAACTCTATTTATTGTAATAAGTACACAAGTCATAAAGTATAAAAATGTTTAGAAATAATTTCTCTTTTCAGTAAATATGAATTCAGAGGCGAATTCAGGTTATTCGGCCCACTGTGTTAGAAAAAATATCATCCCGCATCGCTATTTACCGGCCTAGGAAATGATTTTGTTAGCTCATCAATTCAGTTATTTGAGTCAATTTTAATTTGGATGAACATTGGAGTCCCAATGTTATAAAACCCTAATTTTTTTTAATTATAATAAAATAAGCCCCTGTTTATTTAACTTAAATCATTCTAGTATCCATAACATTTTACCAATTATCCGTCTATAGATATATTATAAATATGCTTGTGCAACTATTTGTTGTACAGTATACAAAAATACATTTATTTCAAATACACGTGTCAGAAATTAACAAAGAATGCACAGTAATTTTTTTAACGCCGACCAAAAATTTAAGTGGAATTTATAATAACATTAACTCCCACTTTGTAAATTTTTGGTTAAAGTTAAAAGAGTCACCGTGTATATTTTATTATACTATGACGCGATCTGAAAATAATTCCACAACATTTAACAATTATGTTTCAGTAATAAATTAGAATATTTTTAACTGGTATTGATTATTAATCAATTTTATAAGTGATATTTCCAAACCTTGCCTGTATATCTTAGATATATGTACATACAATGTACATCAAAATTCAAAATTAAGATATAATATATTTAACTTTACTATTAGAATTAGTTTTTTTCTTATTTTCAGAACGTTCTATAAAAGTATAGACTTTTTAAATATTTGTATTAATTAACATTTGGTATAAGTTATAGAAAGTAAAATTAGTTATTTTAGACATCTTTTAATAAATTGTTTAATTTTAACTGATACTTTTTGCTATTTGTCAATTTTTTACTTTTTCCTTTTTATTACCATATTTATCTGAATTAAATAAAAAATTTTGGTTACATTAGTTCATAAAATCGGTATTGAGATGAAAATATTTTATTTCAGGAAATATATAATTTTATTAGCAATATATCCATTGAATTACGTCAGTGTTATATTAAATATTAGTTCACTCTTAAAACAAATTAACTTAAAAAATAATAATTAAAATACGCATTTAGATCCTAAAACTAATTTAAATAATTTTTTTTTTTATTACGTAATATTATGGTTGCAAAAATATTCTGTCCAAGGAAAAATACGATGATCACAATCAAAAGTTTTTAGTTATTCCTATACTATTTTTATTTTGTTGTCATAGGCGTGTTACATAATGATAATATTATTTTGTTTAAAACTAGTTTCTATGTAATTTATTATATGTTCAACTTAATAATTTAAAAATTTTAAATTATTGATATATCATAAAATTATATATTAACTATAAATTGTAGTAATTAAACGTTAGCAGTCATTTTTTATTAATTTTTTTTAATACCGTGTGTTTTTATAAAAAAGGATTCTGAGCTTTTTTTTAAAATTAAAAATAAGTTCATATATTTTTCAATTAAATTTTTATTTGTAGGCATTCTTACAAGGGGTTAGGGTTAGGAGGTTAGACTATCCACAGTAAAAATAAATATATGGTTCAGATATATTTGAAAGAGATTATATAATATGCCCTAAAACTCTGAGAACGCCATTGTTTTTATTTAATAATAAATATTATTAATAAATAATTAATACACACTTATACTTGTCATAAGGTGATGTAATAAATATTAACTAAATTTTTTTACAAAGAGAAAGTATCTATATTCAATTATACATATATAGTGATTTACCAACTATGTCTCATATAATATCTTCTAAGTTATGCGTATATTTAACATACTAAAATGATCAGAAAAATTATAGTTCTATCCCCTCTTAAATCCCCTTAAAATTGTATCATCTTTAGTTTTTTAAATGGAAATATGCATATTTAAATTACTTATAAATAAGAAAATGATCCTACTAAAAAATGACTGGTCGATAAAGACTCAGCTCAAAACATTAGAACTTGTATTTTGGAAGTTAATAACATATCTATACTTTGGTGGGATGACTGTTGCGGTCTACAAATGCCTAGAGATAAAAATAAAGAGTCGCACTTCATCTCCAGTTTTTTTTTATTCAAGTGTTTATAATATACATTTTATTTTAAACTATTGATGATATGGTGCGAGACATAGTGGATTACTCTATATATTAGTCCTATAAAAGTTCTTAAGTAAGTAATAATCCCTAGTAGTTATTGTTTGTATGTCTTTTCTTCTTAAAGTTATAACCTTGCTATTAGTATTCGGAATTTTATCAAGTTTGATGCACAAATAAATATTTACAATCCAAGTATAAAAAAGTAATTTTTTTTTTAAATAAAATATTTAACCTCACTTATAATATATTTTAGCTTCGATGCGAAGCTCAGAAGGTTTTACTATGATGTGTTTTTTTTTTTTGTGTGTGTCTGTTACCACTTTTTCTCAGCTCTCACCGAACGGATTTCTTTCAATGATGCGTAAAATATCACAAATCGTATCTAGTCGAAGACATACCCTCAAAAATTGAAAAAATTTCCCTCGTTACCTGAAAATGGGGGAAACCTCCAAAAAATTACAAATTTAAAAATCACTAATTTTCGAAATTTTTTCAAATTTTTTTTCTTAAAACTGCCATTACTTTATCAAAAATGAACAAATCAATATAATTTATTTTCATAGATGCTTGATGTCTTTACCTATCATTTGGTATATTTTTTTTATAAATCTGACCCTTTATATGTCCACAGGGGGGGATCTAAAACTTTTTCTCAAAAAATTTACTTTTACACTTAACTTTTGAAAGTGTTCAGGAAATTCTGACACTTTTATATATATCTTAAGTTAAAGTTAATGTAATATGAAGAAAATTCTGCAACGGTTTTTTTGTGTCTGTTACCACTTTTTCTCAGCTCTCACCGAACGGATTTCTTTCAACGATACATCAAAAGATCACAAATCGTATCTAGTCGAAGACATTACCCTTAAAAATTGAAAAAGTTTCCCTCGTTCCCCGTAATTGGGGGAAACCTCCAAAAAAATTACAAATTTAAAAATCGCTAATTTTCAAAATTTTCGAAATTTTTTTTACTAAAAACTGCCGTAACTTTTTCAAAAATAAACATATCAATATAATTTTTTTATATATAGATGAATAATACTATTACCTATCATTTGATATATTGTTTTTATAAATCTGACCGTTTACCTGCCCAAAAGGGGTGATTTAAAATGACAACTTTTTCACAAAAAATGTACTTTTCAACTTAACTTTTGAAAATGTTCCGGAAGGTCTGACACTTTTATATATATCTTAAATTAAAGCTATTGTAATATACTTTATTATGGTAAAAAAAAATTTGAGACTTTATTTTGTCTTCAGGGTGAAAATGGCTACTGAATGCTATTATTGTGTGAAAATTCTCAATTTTATTTTTTTCATTTTTAACTTTATAATGCTAAAACTTATTGAAAAGTGTATGGATCAACACAATTTTTTTATGAAAAATAATATTTTTTTATAATCCCTTTTTTATTTGACTTACTTTATCTTAATCAGGATATAAATAAGAAAATAGCAGATCATGTAGCTTTTGGAATAATCCACCAATTTTTTAAAACTAAACACTGTCTAAAGATTTGCATCGAAGAGTTTTTTATGATAATGATTTTAATCACTGTCAGATATCATTATACTTGATCCAACTATGCCACGTCACCATTGTGCCGCGACCCTCCTGTGCTGGGTATTTGTATTATCAATTGCAAAATTGATATAAAATTATTGATATATATAATCTTTTTTTTGATCCTTTAAAATTGATTGTTACAAATGTTTATAATAAAAAAAGGTTGAACTTTTTACCATTACTTTTTTTTAACTTAACTTGAAAGTTTAAAATTGACTTAATTAAATAAAAAAATTTACGAGAATTTAAAAAATATTGTTATTTATATTGATATGTATTCAAGAAATTTAATAGTTATTATTCTCAATAAATTTATGATAGATGCAAAAAATTACTATTTTTTTTCCTAATAAATCATTTCAATCATAGTAATCATTTCTATGTAACTCGTTGTGTTAGAAAGATTCTACATCTAAAATATTTATAACATAATTCATTATTTAATTATTTAAAAGTAACCAAAAATGTATAGATTAAAATGATATTTAGAAACACATTCGAGGACGAAATCATATGTGAAACTAGGACATGTTCGACTACGCCATGGTCTAACCTAATATTTAGGATCCTTTTCGGATAATAATCGTAAAACTTGACCAAGTGAGGTAACCACAAGAATATTGTCACAAAATTGTTATATGAAAATTATGATAATGCAAACATTTTATATGAAAAAATAATAATAATATAAAAAATATTAAGTAAAACTCTTAAACAATAATAGTTAGCATTAAAAGTTCCTTACCGATTTAAAATATAATATATTATATTTTAAATCGGTAGGTCTCATTTTATCAATGTACATGATTATTACGACCATCCATAAGTGATCATGTAAAAATACCGTGAGTTATCAATTAGAGGTAATTAAATATTTTTTAATGCATTAAAACTACATTGGATCTTAATATTTAAATTATCTTTTTATTTCCTTATCTAACTAGAAGACTAAGATCTCCCAGTTTCACTAAATCATAATAAAAAAAACAAGTCTTTGAAAACTCGATTCAATTTTTGGTCAGATTTAAAACAAAGATAGAGTTTCACATATGGACTAAATAACAACAAAATCCTTCTAATTATTATAATTTTTTTTTTCAAATTACTGTATATTACATAAGCTTTAATTTAAGATATATATAAAAGTGTCAGTATTTTCAATCATTTTCAAAAGTTAATTTTTTGTGGAAAAATTGTCATTTTGAAACTTTTTCTGTGGGCAGGAATAGGGTCA